GAAAAGCTTTCTTACTATCATATCTACAGTAACGTTCAAATGCGCACACGCTCGGTTGAACGAGAGTGACCACCAAAAAGGATGAGATAGTTTACGGACAACGTACAAAGTTCACGCTGCTGACCCCATAGTTTATTTGGCACAATAAACACAAAAGTACGACTGCAATGAAACATAAACATAAACTTGAAATAAGAATATATTTATGAAACAAAATTAAAATGTTTTTATGTACATATATAAACATGAAATCCTAATTAAAAATAAAAATACTCATTTATTGTTTAGGTTTATTTACCAATATCATTTATGGGTCTGTATATTACTTGAAACCATAAGAAGTATGTGATTATTAAAAAAATTAAAAATAGATAAAATTTGCATTTTATGGTGGATACAATTTTTTGGGGATTTCAAAATAATGTACTAAAACATTAAAAGTAATAAGTTCAAATCTGTAGCAAATATAAATATTGTAATCATTTCTTATAAATACGATTTCCTAATGTAATTTTCCAAGATATTAAAGATCATAATGCAAAAAAACAAAATTTATTAAAAGTAACAGGCTTTATGTTTCTTAAACTACCTACATTTGTCAAAGTATTTATGAATTTTCGAAAATATTCGTCCACTAGTTTTATTGTTGGAATTAAATATAGCAAGACTTGCATTGCCTACTAAGAAAGTTAGTAGCCGGTAGTCATCGGGTTAAGGTATTTTACAACAGAAAATTACAGTTTTTGTTATATTTTTATATTCTTAGGAAATTATTCCAAACACTACTTTCAGTTTTATCCTTTGTTACTTCCATCACTGGAAAAACAAACTGTAGCACAAACTGAACCTATATGTTTGTTGATGGTGACTATTGAGTATTTATGCTTTCAATTAACTGTATGTCTAGTATTTGTGATTTATTAAATACTAGTGTTTGTGATGGATAAAGTCAGGTTATATTACAGTCTAACTAAACAGCACTTACTAAATTGTTTGCATCTAATTGTATTTGAAAATGAGTAATATTAACTTTAATATTATTGAGTAATGCTATTGATTTACTTCATAATTTATTTGTAATTATGAGGGTGTTATTTAAAGTTATTTTTTAAGAATTTAATGTTTTCTTGAGTAAACATTTATTCAAAGTCATTTTATTTAGCATATACAAAAAAACGACTGAGATTTACAGTTTGTTTTCAGTTTGTATGTCAGTCTGGTAGCCAAATCCTAAATATTGAATACCAAAAGGGTGGAAGTACATTTCCTAATAGCAGCTGAGGGTGTGCATACTATGTGGAAAATTTTTTGTGATATATTTGGTTTAAATATATTTGTTTTTTTTTAAATAATAAATGATATTCCTGCACTGCTCAATTGAAATTTAAGAAAAGTTTTTGATGTAGTTTAGTCTTTTTGGATAAATGTCTTAATTTTTTTTGTATAATATTGATGATTTAAAAAAGAAATGCTTAATGTGATCACCTTCTCACTTAATGACAGTTAAATATTCATATGAAGTTAGACCTATTTAGTAGATAACCTAACATTTTTTTTACATTTAGGGATTTTTTTCCCACATTTGAATATGGTTTATATGTATTTTAGACTTCATTTATGTCTGTTTGAGTGGATAAGTGGAATGACCAAGTATTCAAAAAATGTATATATACAAATGATGATAATTCTAATCATAGTTTTTAGTAAATAGTTGTATAGGAGAGCAAAGTACACTTGGTAACAAACATTCTCTTTCCTTTGTAGGAAAACAAATGATTTTGGAACTTAAACTGGGAACTATTTACTCTAAAGGAGGATTGATTTGGACACGGTGTGTTGTTGCTTCTAATACTAGTGTAATTTCCCAAAAGGCAGCTTTAAAGGACAAGGAAAATGTGGATGTTTTTCCTACTATTTCTAATTATATACTTTTCCTTCCTGTTACACTAAGTCAAAAATTACAACTGTTACATGGATCTGTCATCAAGCTTTTCTCTCCGTGGTGAGTTAATGTGATTGTCATAGAACACATATAAAACTAATGTGAATTTTTTTTGTAGGTGTTAAACATTATATATAGTAAATATGATCAAATTGTATATTTATTGTGCCTAAACATTTTTGCTTAGTCAAATTTGTTACATTATAGACAAACAAGTTTAATGGAGAAGTTTGGTCGTATCCAAACATAAGTTTTGATGAAGTCCTAGTTAAATCTTATGGCATATATATGATAATATTACATATAATATTATTGAGCTTAATACAAACGGTTGAGTATATTATATTAAAACAATTCTGAATATTCAGATCAGCAAGTCTTGTGACAGCCACAGCCAGTTTAGTCATGGTGGAACAGAATGTATCAGAACTACATTTTGACATTGTTTAGCATTTTTAGGTAGTTTGATGCCACTGAAAACTGTTCTCTCGTGGGTATGGTATGTAACAGCCTTTTCTGATGCAAATATACTCATATGCTCAGATTCCAAGTTTAGAACTTCCAAAATAAGGATATCCATTGTACTTAATGGTATATGGGATCACCTTGGGGCATCAAAACTATTCATCAAGTTTTTTTTCCAGCTATGGCAAGCTAAGTACAGTGCCTCATAAGAGATGAAAATCCACAAAGACAAAGGTCCGTGGCAAAACCTGTCCATTTGTCTCAGGCAACAATACACAACATAAACAAGTATGATCTCTGTCTGTAAAAATTACATATATCATGGGTACATAAGCTGCTTCCACAACATATTCCTTCTATATTTTAAATTATTTAACCATCTTTATTACAAAAACAAACAAATGTACATTTTCAATAATTTTAAACTCTTGAAGGTGATTTTTATTACTTTATCGTATGTTTTGGATTTCTTCAGTAAGATATCTATTTATTCTCTGTAGGCTTTCCTTGATTAACTTGCTGTTGACATTTCTCTTTTTAAGGATATGAGTGTATGTGTGCTCGCATCAGTGTTAAAGAGTATGTTTTTGTAGTATATGCATTATTCCTTTATTAAAGGTTTTCTTTACTGTATTTTTGTGTGGGTGTTCTTGTCAATTTTTGATTTTTCTTTGTTTAATGGTTGCATCATCTCTGTGGTATGTTTGGGTTCTTCAGGTTTTGTCAGAGGGATTCAAAATTCCATTTCTTTCTCTATCTCCCTTGTCTCAGGTACCTGTTCCCTTCTCCTCAGGATCCAGTAACTTTCCAGCATCTGTCAGAAGTGCTACAGGACCTCTTCACCCAACAGGCTATAAAAGCTGTTCCAGATCATTCACCAGGATTTTACTCCTGTCTGTTTGTTGTTCCCCAAAAGATCTGTCCCACCTCAATCACTTTGTTCACCTCCCATGATTCACCACAGAGTCCTATCTCAATCTTTGGTGTGAATGACCAAGATGGACGTCTCCAATGCCTATCTGCATGTTCCCATCTCAGAATGGTCTCGTCCTTATCTTCGGTCATAGAGGGGTGGTATACTAATTTTGCACCCTATCCTTTGGGCTGGCTTTGGCTCCATATGTTTTTTGTTGGGTGGTACAAACTTTTGCTCTTCATATTCATGCCCTGAGCTGTGTTTCCATTTTTTACAAGGACAACTGGCTACTTCTGGCCCTTTCCGAACAGGAGTGGCCCTGTCATACTCGTTATTTCCTTCTTGAAGCTGCTCGGCTAGGCTGGTTGATGAAATTAGAGTAATCCTTCCTAAGTCCTACCCAATACCTTGTACATTTGGGTGTCTTTTTCAACACTCATCTCAGTCGTGCCCAACCTTCTCCTCTGGGACTCTGTTGTATGGAATTGTCAGTTCACCACAACCCTGTCTGCTCCCTCACTTTCTGCATGCTTTTTTTGTGGACGTGGTCTTCTATTACACCACTAATCCCCCTTGACCATGCACACATGCACTCCCTTCAGTGGACTTTACACAATCAATGGAACCTTGCTCAGGATCCCTTGGATGCTTCCATCACTCCTTCTCTCTTCCTTGTAGACGATCTTCTTTGTTGGTTGGACAAGACATACACATCAGCAGATGTCCCACTTCCTTCTCCTCATGTGGACTTACATCTGTTTATGGATGCATTCCTTCAGGGCTGGGGTGCATGGGTCGATCACCAGAAGGCTTCAGGTCATTGGTCTTTAGCTGAACAATCCTCACATATCAATATCCTAGAGTTCCTAGCCATTTGTCAGGTTTGGAATCACTTTCTCTCCATTGCCAAATATTGTATGGTAATGATCCATTTCAAAACTTTCATGGTGATGGCTCATATCAATCACCAAGGCAGCACCCAATTCAAAATCCCTCTGTTTTTGCATGCTGGATCTCCTATATTGAGCCCACATACAACACATTCGTTTAATTATGTGCCATGTCCTGGGTACTTTAAACTTCATGGCAGATCGTCTTTTCCACCCCAACAACGTCTTCCCGATGGAGTGGCCCCTTAATCCTCTCATTTTCTGGTGGCCTTGCATTCTGTGTGGTGTTCCTTACATTGATGCTTTTGCCACCACTCTCAGTCACCAGTTACCCCTATTTTAGTCCCTGATTACTCATTGTCAGGCTTTGGCTATAGATGCGTTCAGCCAGAATTGGGCAGAAATTACTATATGTTTATCCTCCTATCCAATTACTTTATCAGGTAGTTTTCTTGATCCAAGCCACACCATGCTGGGTCCTTTTGATTGCTCCATACTGGTAAGCTTAACCATGGATTATTCGTTTACTCCACCTACAATTATTCCCTCCAGTACCACTTCTCTTTATTACCCAACCTCCTTCATCAACCCCAGTTACCTGTTATACATCCCTCACTTCATGTCCTCAGTCTTCATGCCTAGCTTTTTTCCGGTTCTTGGCAAGGAGATCTGGTTTCTCCCATCGATTAGCTTCCTATTTGGCCCAATCCATCCATCCTTTTTCCATGGAAGGGAATCAGCAAAAGTGGAAGGTCTTTCACACATGGACCCAGGCCTGGGAATTTCTGGCTCCTTCTACCCTGTGGGTGTCGACAATCTGACTTTTTCGCCATTGACGTTACAAGCACACTTTACCACCATACCTATCTTCTCTTTTATTCAGATCATTTCTTCCTCCCCAAATACTTGGAGGCTTATGAGGATAATTCACACCCTCTATATCTCATCTCTACCCCCATCCCAATCCAGATAGACTTGTATGTTCAGTACATGCTCTTCATTGTTATATTGCCCACACAGCTTTCTTCTGTGCTTCCTGTTCTTGTCTTTATCCCGTGGCAATCTTCCTCGTTCAGGGGCCTCTCCCCTTTTACACTCACCAATTCAGTTCTTTGTTTGATCCAGTTGACTTATTCCTCCTTGTCCTCTTCCCAGCATACTTTGTACTGTGTTACCTCTCATCAAATCCAATACCCCATCTTTTCCCTTGTTTCTCGTATTCGTCGACCTCTGGAAGAAATCCTACAATCGGGCATGTGCACCAACCCTAACATATTCATCTCTCATTATTTACATCATATTGCGGTTTCGGCTTCCTCAGGTTTTTGCCTTCCACTTGTAGCTATACTCCAATCTTTGGTGCGACTCTGACACTAGGTAAGTCTTTATTAATCACTTATTTTCTTTCAGGGGCCCAATCTTCCTACCTTCATTACTTGGATCCTATTCTGTGACAAATGGTGCCTGGCCAGGTATTCTTTAACTCTAAATCTGCACTGTATGCCATATTGAATATGTACAATCAGGGTTTAATAAAAATATATATATATACATTATTTTGACAACTATAGAAATTCAAAGTGTGGCTTTTAAGCTATTGGAATACAAAGTTGATAATTTACCAAAACACAGAAAAGAAATAGATAACCGTGCGATATGTGCTTCATAAATTGGCCCATCCTGAACCATACCACCCATGGACTTCATGGGTAAAGTAGAAGGGGATAGATGCCCATCCCTGCCATGCCTTGATTGAATAAATTGTTATGGTCTGCTTTTCAAAACAGGGTTTCATAATTACCCATTACACTGTCTTGGGTGTAGATGTTCCTCCGTGCTCACAAATCCATTCTCACCCCTCCTTTCTTCTAGTGGAATATGGGAGTCCTTACCAGTTCCAAGTTGCTGGGGTGATTGACCATGGAGGCACTCTGCTGGATGGGTTCCACATAAAATGGCTATAACCATTGAGTTCAGAGTAAAACGGTGGCATTCTACCAGTATAGATGATGTGATATCTTCCGATTTGCCATTAACTCTTTCAGCACGGGTTCTGTCCCCGGAACTGACCTCATAACCATTTTGTGCTCGTTATAGTTTTCATGCTATAAATTTTGAAATACCGTATTTTTCGGTGTATAAGATGCACTTTTTTACCCCAAAATTTGATGTCAAAATCTGCTTGCGTCCTATACACCGAAGGTATGAATAATATATATATATATATATATGTATATATATACGATATACACAAGCCATGTGTAGATATATTTAAATAGGCATGCATACATTCAATTGAACTAAACTGTTATTTATAACAATAGTATTTTCTTTTTCTTTTAAAAACATAACTATTTATAATGCTCCCTATATAATAAAAAAATAAATTATACTAATGGATGAGAGTGAAAAAGCTTGTAAATACACGATGATACCTGTTTAATGTGGTGCAGAATAAGGCTGTTTCAGACTTAACTTTAACAAATAGAAAATCGTTTTTGATTGCTCGCCTTGGATTCAAATGTGCAATGTGCTTGACCAATCAGAGCGCTTAATGCAAGTAGCGTCGGCAATCGCCTAATCGGTATTTCAATTTTCATTTGATACTCGGTAGTCTGGCACGTGCTTACTGTCAAGTTGGATGCATCACTGAAAGCTGAAGTACCGTATTTTAGGCCTCGGGAGCAAAATAGTTGTTTCTTCATTTTTTGTTCTATTTTTTCACCCCTTACGATGTCTAAAGAAAAGAGACTGTCATACACAGCTAAATTTAAATTAAGTGTGATTAA